GGTTGTATAGTAAACCCCAATCAACCATCGCTACTATTGTGTCCGAGAGAACGGCAATCAAGGAAGCTGTTCTTGCCAAAGGTTTAACTGTGCTTTCAAAACAGAGATCGCAAATGATAGAAGATGTTGAGAGACTGTTATTGGCGTGGATAAACGAAAAACAGATAGCAGGCGATAGCATCTCTCAAGCGATCATAAGTGAAAAGGCTAGGAAGTTGCACGAGGATTTAATTAGAAAAATACTTGCAACTAGTTGTGATGCGAGTGAATTTAAGGCCAGCAAAGGTTGGTTTGAGAGATTTAAGAGGCATAGTGGCATACATAGTGTGATAAGGCATGGTGAGGCTGCCAGTTCGGACCAAAAAGCAGCTGAAAAATATGTGCATGAATTCAAGGAGTACATAAACAGTGAAGGACTGAAACCTGAACAAGTGTTTAATTGTGACGAAACAGGCCTGTTTTGGAAGAAAATGCCAAGCAAGACCTACATTACTGAGGAGGAAAAGGCACTCTATGAAAGACAGGCTTACTCTTTCATGTGTGCCAATGCTAGTGGTGATTGCAAAGTGAAGCCTTTATTAGTGTATCACTCTGAAACTCCCAGAGCATTCCGGCAAAAGAATATCCTCAAGGCTAATTTGTGTGTGCTGTGGAGGGTGAACAATAAGGCATGGGTCACTAGGGACTTTTTCTATGACTGGTTACACCAAGCATTTGCCCCCACTGTGAAAATTACCTAACTGAAAAGAAATTAGACCTTAAGTGCTTCCTGGTGTTAGACAATGCCCCTGGTCATCCTACAGACTTGGCAGAGTGACTTTGTGGGGACATGAGCTTCATCAAGGTCAAGTTTTTGCCTCCTAATACCACTCCTCTCCTGCAGCCCATGGACCAGCAGGTTATTGCAAACTTCAAAAAACTGTACACAAAAGCTCTGTTTGAAAGGTGCTTTGTAGTGACCTCAGAAACTCAATTGACTCTAAGAGAGTTTTGGAGAGATCACTTTAATATCCTCAATTGTGTAAACCTTATAGGTAAGGCTTGGGAGGGAGTGACTAAGAGGACCTTGAACTCTGCTTAGAAGAAACTGTGGCCAGAATGTGTAGACCATAGGGATTTTGAAGGACTTGAGGCTAACCCTGAGAGGAGTATGCCAGTTGAGGAATCAATTGTGGCATTGGGGAAGTCCTTGGGGGTTGGAGGTTAGTGGGGAGGATGTGGAAGAGTTGGTGGAGGAGGACAATGAAGAACTAACCACTGATGAGCTGCTAGATCAACTTCAACAGCAAGAGGCCACGCCTGAGGAAATTGCTTTGGAGGAGGGGAGAGAGAAATTGAAGAAGTTGCTTACTTCAAAGATTAAGGAAATTTGTGCAAAGTGGCTTGAAGTGCAAACCTTCATGGATGAAAATCACCCTCAGACAGCTATTGCAAGCCATGCTGGTGACTATTACACTGACACTGTTGTGAAACACTTTAGGGAAGTCATAAAGGAACGAGAGGTACAGGCCACTATGGACAGATATGTTGTGCGACAGAAGTCCAGTGACTCTGAAGCTGGTCCTAGTGGCATTAAAAGAAGAAGGGAAGCAACCCCGGAAAAGGACTTGACACCTCAAGTCCTAATGGAAGGGGATTCCCCTTCTAAGCATTAAAACCATCCAGTCTCCCCTCTTCCCATCCCATCAATCATCACTACATCTTCAATAAAGGTAAGTGTCATGTAACTGTGCATGTTTTCTTAAGTTTGTGTGTATTAAAATTAATATTTCATGTGGTAAAAATTTTTTTTTTTCATACTTTTGGGTGTCTTGCACGGATTAATTTGATTTCCATTATTTCTTATGGGGAAAATTAATTCGCATAACGATAATTTCGCATAACATTGAGCTCTCAGGAACGGATTAATAGCGTTATGCGGGGGTCCACTGTATTGCCTCCACAACACTATCTTCCACTAACCTTTTTTGGCTGATCCACACCAACAACAACTTCTCAACATCTTCGATTGTTTGCGATCTCTGTTTTGTTAACACATTTACCCCTTTCACAACATCAGTTTCCTTGAGTTCTTTTTTTTTTGCCAGGATGGAACTGATCGTTGATTTGGACTTCTGATACATCCTGGCAAGCTCGGCCACACGTACGCCACTTTTGTATTTTTCTACAAGTTCTTTCTTGAATTCTATCATGTTTCTCACCTTCTTTACCAAAGGACTGGCACTTTGAACATTCTTTGGCCCCATGGTGGCTTATTTAAGCAGTCGCTAGCACAAAAAAAAATGGCTTATTAAGAAATGTTTCGGAGGAATGCGCAAAGTAATACTCAGTGAATGAGTAACAAAGGCAGACTGAATAATGAACGTATGAGCGACCATGTCCCACGGGCAGGCAGACGCGTCTGGTAAGGACGATTTCTGAGTGGATGTATGAAAACGGCGAAAATTTCACCGAAAAAAAGTGGTCGAAAACTGAATTGTGTGATAACCGGACCGGACGAAACCCGGGGTTCCACTGTACAGAACATTACTGCAATATAAACCCTTTGCTTGAACTTCTACTTGATAGCTACAACAGAATGCACAGCCACAATACAAGGCACAAGGTACTCTTTGACATCCCATGTCAGTCTCACACTATGCAAAAAATGCAATGCACATAAAGGGCCCAAAGATCTGGATTTCACTACCTGAACTGGTAAAGGATCCCCTGACTATATACAAAATTAGGGCTATGCTTAAAAATCGTCTCATCTCTCAATACTAACCAAACCAACCAAAACAACTTCTAATCAGTTTGAAGTAACTCTCTCCAATATATTATATGACCTCTAGTCTATTTAAATATCTGCCAATCCATGAAATATTATTGTTTGAACCATTGTAATATTGTTTTTATTATGTTCAACTTCAAGATTAATATTCTTATATACCTCCACCTTGACTACCTCGCATTAGTATTAAGATAAAATAAAGATTTATTAAAAAGTTAACCACTCTTATCTTGTCTAGACTTAAGCAGTTATTATGTATGGCCCCCAACCCGGGGGCCACCGCCGGGTCGCCATCTGGAGAAGACCTGGGCCGGAAGTACCGGCAAATCCCTAATGAATGAATGAATGAATTATGTACTAGGATTAGTCTGCCCTAAATGCCCTGGCATGATAGTGGCTTTCTTTGTACTTTACAAATCAAAACTGTAATTACACATTGTAACCTTTGCAATATTAGATTACATGTAAACTACATTATAATTATACCACATAAAAAGAAATAAAAGGTACTACCATCCTGCCAAGTGAGTGTAAAACGAAAGCCTGTAATTGTTTTACATGATGGTAGGATTGCTGGTGTCCTTCTTTCTGTCTCATGAACATGCAAGATTTCAGGTATGTCTTGCTACTTCTACTTACACTTAGGTCACACTACACATACATGTACAAGCACATATATACACACCCCTCTGGGTTTTCTTCTATTTTCTTTCTAGTTCTTATTCTTGTTTATTTCCTCTTAGCTCCATGGGGAAGTGGAACAGAATTCTTCCTTCGTAAGCCATGCGTGTTGTAAGAGGCGACCAAAATGCCGGGAGCAAGGGGCTAGTAACCTCTTCTCCTGTATATATTACTAAATGTAAAAGGAGAAACTTTCGTTTTTCCTTTTGGGCCACCCCGCCTCGGTGGGATACGGCCGGTGTGTTGAAAGAAATAAAAAAGAAAGAAAATTTTTAATCTTTAACTTGAATATCCAATACTAATACAAATATTGCAACATAATTTTTTATAATTAATATTTTTTTTTTTTTTTTTGGGGGGGGGGGGGAGATTCTAAATAAAAATTGCGAAGGTTAATGGATGATTTTGGGAGGGTGTGTAAAGGAAGAAAGTTGAAAGCGAACATAGATACAGTAAGGTGATAAGGGTATCAAATGAGTTAGGTAAAGAAAAATTGGATATTACATTGGAGGGAGAGAATATAGAAGAAGTGAATATGTTCAGATATTTGGGAGTTGACTTGTGAGCAGATGGGTCTATGAAGGAGATTAATCACAGAACTGATAAAGGAAAAAAAAGGTGAGTGGTGCTTTGAGGTATCTGTGGAGACAAAACAAGTTATCCACAGAGGCAAAGGAAGGAGTGTACGAGAGTATAGTGGTACCAACACTCTTATATGGGTATGAAGCATGGGATGTAAATGCTGCAGCAAGGAGGTGGGAGGCAGTGGAGATGTCTTATCTAAGGGCAATGTGTGGTGTAAGTATTATGCAGAGAATTCGTTGTGTGGAAATTAGGAAGTGTGGAGTTACTAAAAGTATTAGTCAGAGGGCTGAAGAGGGGGTTGATGAGGTAGTCTGGTCATTAAGAGAGGATGGAACAAAGTAGAATGACTTAGAGAGCATATAAATCTGCAGTGGAAAGAAAGCGGGATAGGGGTGGTCCTAGGAAAGGTTGGAGGGAGGGGTTAAAGCAGGTTTTGTGGACGAGGGGCTTGGACTTCCAGCAAGTGTGCGTGAGCATGTTAGATAGGAGTGAATGGAGAAGAATGGTTTTTTGGACTTGACGAGCTGTTGGAGTGTGAGTAGGGTAATATTTTGTGAAGGGATTCAGGGAAACCAGTTAACCAGACTTGAGTCCTGGAAGTGAGAAGTACAATGCCTGCACTTTAAAGGATATTGACTGTTTGGAGTTACATCTAAACTGTCGTATCTGAGCGCCTCTGCAAAGATAGTGATTGTGTGTGAATGACGGTGAAAATGTTGAACGATGATTTAAGTTTTTTCTTTTTGGGATTTTTTCTTTCTTTTTGGGCCACCTGTGTTACGAGTACTGTAACACCCTGCCTAGGTGGGAAATGGCCGAAGTGTTAAAAAAAAAAAATTACACTCAAGTGCAAACTGCATTCAGTGTCTTAGTGACAAAAAACCTTACCAGTTGCTTAGAAATAATAGAAACAACTAAGCAACCAAATTAAGTCTAATTTGTCAAATTTAATGATGCTAACCTACAACTCTGAGGTGAGTAGCATCAGATGTTATTTCATAAACAACCATCTTCTTCTTGTTCCACAGCAGAAGATGGTCAACAGAGTTATGGACACCTCGTACTTGAATTTCGGCACGTAACTCCAAGTGACTTCCCCCAGAAAATACATCCACTGATAGCTGAGTTGGAGACACCTGAACCACCGACACCTGAGGGCACATCAGCAGGTGATCAATGTCAGAGTAATTCAAACAAACAGAGAAGGAAAATATGGAGGAAGCATGAGCAAAACAATGAGCGCCCGGGAGAACATTAGAAAGACTGATAGATGAAAACCCACAATATATATTAACCCATAAACAGTCCAAGCAGATCTACGTTCACATGTGTAGTGCTACAAAAGTAGATCTAAGTTTTTTTACATATTTTCAAATATAACAAAAAAAAGTAGATCAAAGGTTTTTTTACACATTTTCAAATGTAGAAAAACAAAAGGAAGATCTACTTTTTTTTACATACTTTCAAATGTTGAAAAAACGTATATATACGTTTGGACCGTTTACGGGTTAAAGCTGTATGCTGAAGATTAGCCTTTCCACTTCTGCCAAATTACCAAATTTTTGGAAAGTTGGGACACAATGAAGAAAAGGATTGGGAAAAAGGTGGGAGGGTGGGTGAAGGTTTGGAATGGCAGGGACTTTAGCATCTAACACTCATGTAAGCCTGTTATATCACTGTGAATGAAGAAAAGTGATTTTTTGAGATTTCACATGTTGTTGGAGAATAAGGTATCACCTAAGAATTCAATCAGTCAACTAGTTAGCCTAACTTAAGTTCTGGTGGTGGGAAATACAGTGCATGCTGTCTGAACAATGAATGAGGATGCTGCAGCTCACATCACCATTTAAATAGGTAATGTCAATGCACTTCTGCAAATATAGGAGTGAGTAATGGTGAATGTGTTTCCTTCTTTGAATCACACTACCTTGTTGGGAAACAGCTGATGCATTAGAAAAAATGCATATACAAGTTTTAATGCACAGTATATAAAATATTCTGCAAGTGATGTAATGTGTATGAATTCTAGAGTATACAGGTCCGTATCCCTTTACGTATCCAAAATTCTGAAATTCAAAAAGTTCCGAAAACCGAAGTTTTTTCCATGGAAGTGTATACGTAAATGGAAAACAGGAATTAATAAAGGGGATGTAAATAGCGTGCTAAAAATATCTAGCCTAGCCTAGACCTGACTAGCTTGTGCTACTAGGTCAGATGCCGTGCTCCTTCCTTGGTTGGATAAACATGTTAGGTTGGATAAACATTTCAGGTTGGATGAACACATGAGTAAGAGGGGTTGGATTTGAGTGGGACTTGCACATGAGTAAATAGAATTATCAAAGCTTATTGCTTGGGTAGCACTGAAAACTGGGTTGGGCAAATATTCTGTTAATGGGGTGGATTGTGAAGGACCTGCCTAATATGGGCCAACAGGCCTACTTCAGTGTTCCTCCTTTCCTTCTTAACCCTTTCAGGGTTTCGGCCGTACTAGTGCAGCTTACGCCCCAGGGTTTTTGACGTACTAGTACGCCTAAATTCTAGCGCCTTCAAATCTAGTGAGAGAAAGCTGGTAAGCCTACATATGAAAGAATGGGTCTATGTGGTCAGTGTGCACAGTATAAAAAATATCCTGCAGCACACAGTGTGTAATGAGGAAAAAAAAAACTTTGACCGTGTTTTTGGATTAAAACAGCGACTTTGCACTGTATTTTCGTATGGTATTTATTGTTGAATTCTAGTTTTCCTGGTCTCATTTTATAGAATGGAAGATATACAGGTCTCCCTCAACATTCACGTTTTCAGCTTTCGCGGGCTTCACACATTCGCGAATTCCCAACCGCCAAATTCCCAGCCGCCAAATCATATTCAAGAGTCCCGCCACCTGCGAGTCCCTACTACCCTCCCTCCGACCCCCGCAACTGGCAGCCAGCCCTCCCACCACTCAGTGTGGTGAGTGTTTTGTTTGTTCATTATTTGCTATTAAACTGCAGTATAAATAATGTAAACCCATTCATGACTGCATATTGGAATGGTTATTCGGACAGGTATTAGACGGTGACATGTGTTTACTCTTGAACACAGCAAAGAATCAAACATTTCTGCTACTGCTAATAATAACAAAATATAATAAATAATAATAATAATAATAATAATAATAATAAATACGATATAATTGAAGAAGGAAGTTGTACAAAAATACGAGGGAGTGGTTGACACATCGTCAGTGTGGCTTTGTTTATGCTGGAGTGAGCATTAGTCTCCCTGCTCTTCTAAACATTTCACAATAATTCATTGTGTTTGGTACTTGTAGATTGAGTGCGACTGGAGTGGTAGAGGCAGTGGTTGAGGCAGCTGTTGAGGCAGCTGTTGAGGCAGCGATTGAGGCAGCTGTTGAGGAAGCGATTGTGGCAGTGGTTGAGGCAGTGGGTGAGGCAGCTGTTGAGGCAGCAATTGAGGCAGTGGGTGAGGCAGCTGTTGAGGCAGCTGTTGAGGCAGCTGTTGAGGCAGCTGTTGAGGCAGTGCATGAGGCAGTGCATGAGGCAGCTGTTGAGGCAGCGATTGAGGCAGCGATTGAGGCAGCGACTGAGGCAGCGATTGAGGCAGCTGTTGAGGCAGCTGTTGAGGCAGCAATTGAGGCAGCTGTTGAGGCAGCGATTGAGGCAGTGGTCACTGAGGCAGCTGTTGAGGCAGCGATTGAGGCAGTGGGTGAGTCAGCTGTTGAGGAAGCGATTGAGGCAGCTGTTGAGGCAGCGATTGAGGCAACTGTTGAAGCAGCGACTGAGGCAGTGGGTGAGGCAGCTGGTGAGGAAGCGATTGAGGCAGTGGTATTTAATAACATACATGTTATTAATAATAATAATACATGTTATTAATATGTACTATTATTATTTATAACATATATGTTATTAAATACCACTGCCTCAACCGCTGAATTATTGTGAAATGTTTGGAAGAGCAGGGAGACTAATACTCACTCCAGCATAAACAAAGCCACACTGACGATGTGTCAACCACTCCCTCGTATTTTTGTACAATTTCCTTCTTCAATTATATCGTATTATTATTATTATTATTATTATTATTATTATTATTATTATTATTATTACTATTGTTATTATTAGCAGTAGCAGAAATGTTTGATTCTTTGCTGTGTTCAAGACTAAACACATGATGTCACCATCCAATACCTGTCCAAATAGCCATTCCAATGTGCAGTCATGAATGGGTTTACATTATTTATACTGTAGTTTAATAGCAAATAATGAACAAACAAAACACTCACCACACTGAGTGGTGGGAGGGCTGGCTGCCAGTTGCAGGGGTCGAAGGGAGGGTAGTAGGGACTCGCAGTGGTTGGGGAGGTGGTGGAGGCATTGGTGGAGTCTGTGGTATTTAATAACATACATGTTATTAAAGCATAACATGTATATATTTAGTACAATTTACGACGTTTTCATGTATTTTATGATTGTTCATGGTTCAGCAAGTTAAGGAAGCAGTATTGTATTATATTTCTCTACAATATATTGGGGCACCAAACATTCACGGTTTTTCAACATTCGCGAGGCTCTTGATCCCCTAACCCTCGCGAATGTTGAGGGAGACCTGTATTACAGAAATTGAGATGATTTTGGCTGGTTTTACAATGAAAAGTACCTTGAAATTGAGCTCAAAGTAGCAGAAATGTTCAATTTTTACCGAAATTCAAAAGTAAACAAATCATGCCAAGCGCCCAATACACGTCAAATGGTGAGTCTAATATTCTTTCACAAGTGCGCCAATATTATTTATACCATTTCTACACTAATACAGTAGTCTGCATAACAGCATATCTTCTATTTTTTGTAAGAATAAAAATTCGAAGTGGAAAGCCAAAGAAATATAAGAGGGGGCTGGGGATGTGACTAACGAACAGAGAACTTGTTATTTTAGTGCCAGAAATGTCTTTCTTGTTTATTCTGGACCCTGTTCGGAAATTGGCATCTTTGGAAATTTGTGTGAAATTGGCAAAATTGCTAAATTCTGACCACTTTATTGGATAGTTGAAATCGGTAAATGGGTGGTTTCTTGTACTCATTCGATAGAAAAAAATGGAGTTCTAGCAAAATAGTTATGATTTTTGTCGACTAGTACACTGGAATTGGCCGAAAATAAGGCTCAAAGTGGGCAAAATCGCTGATGCGTAAGCATCGTCGAGACCGCTAACTTCGCAAGAGCATAATTCTGTAAGTTTTCCATTACATTTCATACTTTTGGTGTCATTATGATCGGGAAAAGATTCTCTATCTTATCATGAGAAAAAATAATTTTTTTTTTAAATTTGGCGACCCTGAGAACAAGTCTCGGAGAGGGCCTGGGGACACTGAAAGGGTTAAGTGAATGTGACCTGACCTGACTAGGTTTAGGCATTGGCTTAAGCCGGTGAGAGAATTGGACCTGCCTCACATGGGCCAGTAGGCCTGCTGCAGTGTTCCTTCTTTCTTATATTTTTATGTGTGGAGCGTCAGTCATCTCTACATAACTTCAATGCTGCCATGTGGCGGCACTGACAGCCAGAGTGGCGTCAGTTGTCTCAGCGCTTGCAGTATTCGCACATGCATCTGCTGTTTGCTGAGTACAGCAGGCGCATGTCTCTAATCTATAATTATCCCATTATTTCATTTATCGATATATTACTCTATAAATAAACCATAGTAGTATTCGAAGTCTATATTTATCCCACTTAGTGTGAGTATTCATACATTTATACTGCAATGTTAATGTTTGATTATGGGGTGCTACCCTAGACCCCACCTTCATTCTGAAATTCAAAAAATTCTGAAATTCGAAACACTGCTGGCCCCAAGGGTTACAGATAAAGGGATACGGACCTGCATTACTAGTAAAGTTACTAACCTGATCTTTGTAGCTAGCCACCATACGCTGCTCATTTAAAATGTACACATCACGAACAGTGTTAACGGCTAACAAGTTCTGAGTAGACCCCCAGGAAACCTGAAATACAAATTTATGAACAAATGAAAGAAACTAACATGATAATAATTTTGCATCTGATATAATAATATTAAATGAAATTACTAAATGTAAAATTTAAAAAAAAATTACGTTTCTTCTATTCTGGGTCACTCTGGCTTGGTGGAAGATGGCCAATGTGTGAAAAAAAATCTATGATAAAATAATTTATTTTGTGGGCAAGGGGCTCGGACTTCCAGCAAGCGTGCATGAGCGTGTTAGATAGGAGTGAATGGAGACAAATGGTTTTTGGGACCTGATGAGCTGTTGGAGTGTGAGCAGGGTAATATTTAGTGAAGGGATTCAGGGAAACTGGTTATTTTTATATAGCCAGACTTGAGCTCTGGAAATGGGAAGTACAATGCCTGCACCATTTTTGATGTATATACATGTGTACTCATAAATTCTAGCAGCTTCAAATCAAGCAGGAGGAAGCTGGTAGGCCCACATGTGAGAGAATGGGTCTCTGTGGTCAGTGTGCACCATATAAAAAAAATCCTGCAGCACGCAGTGCATAATGAGAAAAAAAAAACTCTGTCTTTTTTTAATTAAAATGCCGAATTTGTGGTCTATTTTCGTATAGTATTTATGGTTGTATTCTCGTTTTCTTGGTCTCATTTGATAGAATGGAAAACATATTATAGAAATAGAGGTGATTTTGATTGATTTTACTATAAAAAGAACCTGGAAATGGAGCTCAAAGTAGGGGAAATGTTTGATTTTTGCCAATGTTCAAAAGTAAACAAATGATGTCATTGTCCAATAAATGTCCAACTAGCCATTCTAATATGCAGTCATGTATGGGTTGACATTAGTATTTATACAATTATTACAATATTGCAGTAGTCTGCATAATAGTAAATCTTCTATTTTTGGTTTGAATAAAAATTCAAAATAGAAAGCAAGAGTAATATCAGAGGGGCCTGGAGACATGACTGATGAACAAAGAAAATGTTATTTTGGAGCCAGGAATGTCTGTATTGTTCATTATGGACCCTATTTTGAAATTGTCATATCTTTTAATTTTCGTGAAATCGGCCAAATTGCAAATTTCTGACCATGTTATTGGGTAGTTGAAATCGGTAAATGGGCAGTTTCTTGTACTCAATCGATAGAAAAAATGGAGTTCTAAAGAAATAGCTATGAGTTTGGTCGAGTGGAACAACAGAATTATCCGAAAATAGGGCTCAAAGTGGGCGACAACGCCGATTCATAAATATCGCCGAGGTCGCTAACTTTGCGAGAACGTAATTCCGTCAGTTTTCCATCAAATTTTGTTCTTTTGGTGTCATTACCATCAGGAAAAGATTCTTCATCATTTCATAAGAATTTTTTTTTTTTTTAATTTTTGCGACACCAGGAGACACCTCAGGATTTGGGGTTGCAACAGTCAAGCTGGTTAAAGGAGGAGTTTGAGATATTGGCAGTTTGGAGGGATGTGTAATAGGACAGTATATATATATACGTAACTGGGGCCCTGATATTATATTCTATATGGTAAATTTTGAATAAATTTTAGTATAGTTTATACAATTTCAGGTCACTTTTTATATTGTATCTTTATATATGCTTCTAAGCTGTTGTATCTGAGCACCTCTGCAAAAACAGTGATTATGTATGAGTGAGGTGAAAGTGTTCAATGATGATGAAAGTACTTTTGTTTTGGGGATTTTCTTCCTTTTTGGGTCGCCCTGCTTCAGTGGGAGATGGTCGACTTGTTGAAAAAAAAAAAGGTGTAAATTAAAATATTAATCTCATAAAAAAGTGATAAGGATATTATTAGGAAATACAAAACTGACTTAATAAATGAAGAATCTAGATACTGCAAGTTAACCCTTATAGGGTCCAGAGGCCAAACCTTTAAGATTTGGTCCAAGGATTTTTGAAAAAAAAAAAAAAAAAAAAAAAAAAAAAAAAAAAATTCTTACAGAATTAAAGATAATAATTTTCTGTAGGTAATAAAAAAAAATTGATCAGTAGTAACCAAGATATACAGGCGTGAATTTGACCCTCGATGACCTGGTGGTGGCAACTTTTGCGACTCGTAGGTTTTTGCTAATTTTTTCTTTTCTAATATTTTTTTTCCAGTAACTTTTGTGGCCTGTGAGACAAATATAATGTATAATGTATAAATGTACACTCATTGTATTCAACACAATAAGTGCACCAATTTATCATTACATTGCTTACAAAACTTGTTTACAAGTTATTGTAAACAGAATAATGATGAAAATATTAGTGTGGTTATGTTGATTACAATGGTACCATATAGTACCATAGGATGCAATGGTACCATATGGTACAATGTACCATATGGTGCAGTGGTACCATATAGTGCAATGGTATCATTGTACCATATGGTACTATTGCACTATATGGTACATCATTATTTCACTTACAATAATTGTTTACAACAAAAAATGCAAAAATGTTGTATATTAGTAATGTTCTATTATATATTTTTACATATGTACAAGCACTGGACATGTTGCTTGAGGTGGATGATGAAGCACTTTGTCTTGGAAACTGCTGAGTCAAAGGGTTTGTGTCCCCACTCAGTCAGTCCTGGCTGGTGCCTCGTGGCACTAACACCTCCTACTAGCCATGTGGTACAGGGTATCATATGTTACAAGGTACCATATGGTACAGGGTACCATATGGTACAGAGTACCATACAGTACAGAATACCATACAGTGCAGGGTACCATATGGTACGGGGCACCATATGGTACAGATACAGGGATCCCTTTGGAAATAAGTCACCCTGACTTTTTCGGTTATCCTAGGATTTTATACATATGCTGCCATGTATGATAATCTATGTACGTAACTGTATTTGTATACACCTGAATAAACTTACTCAAGCACATGTGGTGTCATAAGTTTATCTAGATATACAGAAACAAAGTTACATAGATTACCATACACAGCAGCATATGTTTGGAGACCTAGGATAACTCCAAAAAAAAGTCAGACAGACGTACTTTCATTAGGGTCCCTGTACCATATGGTACAATGTACCATATGGTATAATGTACCATATGGTATAATGTACCATATGGTATAATGTACCATACTGTACATTTTACCATATGATGCCATTGTAGTATATGATACCACTGTATGATATGGCACCATTGTACCATATGGTACCACTGTACCATATGGTACCACTGTACCATATGGTACAATGTACCATATGGTTCAGAACCATAGAATTTCTCTTCAGATCCACTTCCATCAGCCTTAGAACTATAAGCTGGGAAGAGGAGAGTCAGAATTCGCCCGGGGAGTGAGAGCTTCCTTGCTGCCAGGCATGGTGAACAAAGCCACTTTGGTGGCGTTCCCACAATGCCATGCGGGCGTCCAAATTTTTTCTATAGTGCGTACACTGACCAACTAGGCCCATTCTCTTAGATGTAGGCCTACCAGCCTTCTTGAGGTAAATTTGAGGCCGCTAGAATTTTGGCATAGTTCTACGGTTTGGATCCACAACTCAAAGCCGTAGAACTATGGCACAGACCCTGAAAGGGTTAATGAAACAGTAATGATAGCTTGTAATAGCTGAATGAGTGATTCAGGATCAAATGAAGAGAACAAATAATAATGATAATACTGTAACTAAATATGGAACAGTGATCAGGGAGGGCACTCGACCCTACCCTACATTACCGTTAATTTAGTACAGTGGACCACCGCATAACGCTATTAATCCGTTCCTGAGAGCTCATTGTTATGCGAAATTATAGTTATGCGAATGAATTTTCCCCATAAGAAATAATGGATATCAAATTAATCCGTGCAAGACACCCAAAAGTATGAAAAAAAAATTTTTGCCACATGAAATATACATTTTCCTACACACAAAGAGAAGGATACATGCACAATAGTAGAGTAGTACAAGCACAATATATATTGTGCATGTACTACTCTACTAAATGAAGAATAAATGACACTTACCTTTATTGAAGATGCAGCAATGACTGATGAGACACTGTGTCCTGGGAGTGCCTTTTCCTCCTGAGTACTGTAGGTCCTGTTTGGCATTTTCTTCCAGAACAGGCCTTATCACACTGTGTATGCCACTATGATTCTTAAATCTCTCAAACCAACCTTTGCTGGCTTTAAATTCACCAATATGAGCACTAGTTCCAGGCATTTTTCCCTGTTCACCTAGGTGTTAGTCGACTGGTGTGGGTTGCATCCTGGGAGACAAGATTAAGGACCCCAATGGAAATAAGTTAGACAGTCTTCGATGACACTGACTTTTTTGGGTTATCCTGGGTGGCTAACCCTCTGGGGTTAATTGTTTCTTGGTATTCTCAATAAGCCACACCAACAACGGTGCTACAGCAGCAGCAGCAGCTGACAGTGTTACAGCAGCAGCTGATGGTGGTACAGCAGCAGCAGCAGCTGACAGTGCTACAGCAGCAGCAGATGGTGCTACAGCAGCAGCAGATGGTACTACAGCAGCAGCAGCAGCTGACAGTGCTACAGCAGCAGCAGCAGCTGACAGTGCTACAGCAGCAGCAGACGGTACTACAGCAGCAGCAGCAGCTGATGGTGGTACAGCAGCAGCTGATGGTGGTACAGCAGCAGCAGCAGCAGCAGCAGCAGCTGATGGTGTTACAGCAGCAGCAGCAGCTGACAGTGCTACAGCAGCAGCAGACGGTGCTACAGCAGCAGCAGACGGTACTACAGCAGCAGCAGCAGCTGACAGTGCTACAGCAGCAGCAGCAGACGGTACTACAGCAGCAGCAGCAGCTGACAGTGCTACAGCAGCAGCAGCAGCTGAAAGTGCTACAGCAGCAGCTGACAGTGCTACAGCAGCAGCAGCAGCTGACAGTGCTACAGCAGCAGCAGTATCAGCAGTTGACCATGGTACCACAGTATTTCGATAATATTTCTCACCCTTTTTACGACAGGGTTGGCACTAGAGGCTTTCTTGGGGCCCATGGTCACTTATTTTGTAGATAAAATCA